GGTGTCAAGTGCACCAGAGGTAACTAATCCCTATGATCGTCTCCTGATGGTGAAATTCACGAGATAATCATGCTATACAAATAATTTGTTTTGACAAGAGTTGCAATTAGAGCTTCTACACGGAATCAAAATCTAACAGGTGTGAAAATACTGATAGACCTGTATTAGCTAAGTTACATACTCTCACTGTAAATATTCAAAGTAATGATGAATTAATATTGTAAATTACAAAATGAAGCTTTAAGCTTGAATTTCTTTAAGTTTAGCTAAAAAACTATTAATTGTGATTTAATTCTTTTAAATTTTCAATGGTCGATCTTGAAAAATAAGTACAAATTGATTTTAGGACAATTATATTTTTTTCCCTTAACACAAAGACAGTTATATATAGTATCTAAAGGTAATTTGTTTAATTTCTTTAATTGTTTATTTTTTTTATCCGGCAAATAATTACACAAGCGACTGTGTAAGCAATGTAACATATTGGGTATTTTAACAACTGATTAAAAGTCCTAACTATTTATAAACATTGATTGTCATTTATCAAATTGATATACCACTAAATTTTACAACCTAATTATACAACCCCATGTTGATTCCTACTTGCTGCGAAAATTTATTGCAGTGACATTAATTCCCTTTTTCCATTCTGATTTTTTCTCTATAGATTAAGGTACGATGACAAGTACATGTAAACAAATGTGTGAAGAGTAGATAAACAATTGGTACGTATCTAGAATGACTGGGAGAGAGAGAGAGAGAGAGAGAGAGCAATTTACTACGAAACAGGATAAAATTAAAGCCAAAAATATTCAATTTGAAAAAAATTTAAAAGGGTGATTTAAAAATTAATCGGAAGGGGCGGAAAAGGCGTAAAAAAAAGAGATTTTGTCTCCCATCGGAAGAATCACATGATTTATGTTATGAGATATCTGCATGTAATTACCATAGATATAGAGAAAAATTTGAATTAAGAAAAAAAAACGATCGTTTTTTGAAGTAAAAAAGCCAAGTAGTACTCCAACACGGATTAAATTATGGAGATTTATTGACAGTTGGAGCATGTTATATGGAAAATTTAAATGGTTTTGGGTTTTTGTTTCAAAAAACGAGTGAAAATACGTACCAGGTGTGCTTTGCATGTATTGCACGTGTATAAATAATATTATCTTTTTTTACTGGCCAACGGGGGGACCCTTTGCAGAAAACCCTAGCCCGACCCCCGGGTATGGTCGATTTTCATTGAGATCGATTAAAAAAAGAACTATCAGTGCATTCAAAAATTTTTTTACAAAAGCCCGTTTTCAATCGGTATGTGTTTATGTGGACTACAAGTGTCCTTTCCTTGACTTTAAATAAATTCTACAACTGCATAATGTACATATGAATCATATCAAACAACTTACAAAGCTTTTTTTAATGTGGTGCAACAAAAAGAAGACTTACTGCATTTGCTTTTTTGTTTCCAATTTCCTCACTGCTAATACAAAATGTCCAAACACAGCTACTTCCGTATTTCGCATGCGCAGTTAGTTTTAAAAAAAATGCGCATGCTCAGGTATTCGGAACTCCTCGATTCAATTACCGAACTCCTCTAAACAGCAGATTTCTGAATGTCTGAGCGTTTTTGGGGTAAGGACATGTCCAAAATTTGGACAAAGTCTTTGTGAGGTTAAATCTAATTTTAGGTTTTTCGACCTCGTGAGTAATTTTGAACGAAAGACCTCTTCATTATGGGGTTAACCCCCCAGTACCCAAAAAACCCCACACTGCTGGAAAAACGTTAATTTTCCCCCCAAAGTACCCCCCGAAAAAAAACGGACGGACAACGCTGGGGAAAACGGACGGACGACGGACAAAAGTGATCAGAAAAGCTCACTTCAGCCTTCGGCTCAGGTGAGCTAAAAAATGGATATAGATGAAAACTACCAAAATTTTGTATACTGTAACCAACTATTATTCGCGTCATTTTTTATTTGCGATTCATTAGTTTAGAATCAATCAGTTACAATTAATTTTTACTGGGAAAAAATTTCTACAAATACTTATCAAAATTATTGGTTCACAGTGATTAATATTCGCGAATAAAAGTACTAGTTCATGGAACACACAAATATTTCTCACACACAAATAATAGTTGGTTTACAGTAAGTGCATGCTTAAATAAAAATATCTTAAGGCTAAATAAAATTGAAGTCTTGGTTCTCAGGCCCCCGCATCCGTTTTGAGGTAGCCGCATTGCCGATTTTATTGTATTTTTAAAAAAATAAAAAGTAGGTATTGCGGAGACCAAAAACCGGGAAAAAAAATTCCGCCCTCATTTGTTTCGTAGTTTAGTATTTAAATATAACTTCTGGTAGCCATTTACAATGAGATTTTGGCTACTTCGTTTGAAAATGAATTCGAGGACATTACCTACGATGTTTACACGCTGTTAAGCAATGGGTAAAGGGAGAGAATTTGACCAGAAATGGAAAGTTTATCTGTGATTAAAAAATTATCTTTATGTTAAAAAAAATTTGGAAATTAAAATTTAAAAAAAAAAAAACCCCCCTCATCTACTTTATTGCCAATAAAATGAAAAATAAAATGCCGCCCTCCCGCATCTGTTTTGGAGAAAATTGGCCTGAGAACCAAAGGGAAATTTAAAATTTTGATAGCCTAAAACACCCAATTTTATGTTAACGCCCCCAAATTACCTATTCAAGATCAATAATTTTCCGCCTGTCAATCATTAAAAACACAATAGCTTCTGATTTGATTGACAGGCCAGCTTTCCCCTGCTACCTGATAGTCTGAGTTTGTGTCCTCTGAAAACGATTGCCTGGTTACGCGTCAAAATTTCAGTAGCCGCCTTGTATACACGGTGGTTAAAAAAAAAATCTTGGTAAAATTTTATTTCAAAAATAATTGAGAGGATAAATAAAACATGACTTCATAAAATAAAATTTGCTTTTTTAATCTCAACGGCTATATTGTATTTTAGGCGATATAGAATTTAACCTGTCCGTAAAAAGTTTAGAAAAGGGTTTTTTGTCGATTAAAATTGGAATATATGATAAATAGGAAAAGATATTTAGCACAAACGGCACGGATAAAAAATTCCTTTATCCGATGTTTTACCTACTTATATATGAATACAATCTATACAATGTCCTGTTGTAAAATTCTGAAATGTCAGAAACAGTTTCGAGTTTCGAGATTGTAACTTTTAGTTCGAATTTCCTAACATCTGTCAATACCCAATATTCGAAATTTAAAATGAATATATACAGCCAAAAAAAAAAAATCTTGCAAACAATAATAAATTTTAAACACACGAACACCCGGAAATGGTGAATATTTTTGACACTATTGTTGGTCAGAATTATATTCCTATCGCGGTAAGGTACATTGTATATGTTCACACGACGGATAGGCCTACCTATGAATGGAATATTTCATTATTTTTTTTAATTTGATATTTACATAAGTTTAATTAAAAAAAGATATGTTTACTTTGTAATTTTACTCTATGTTCTTTTCTTTAATTTGTCATTTTTTCAAATATAAAAACGACATTTCTTTATAATTTTTTTTCTTCATTAGATATCGCTGAAAGTATTTATAAATAAATTTTATATTGAAATATTTCAATTATTTCAAGTAGTTTCACTCAAATTTAGACACGAAACACGGAATGTTGACCCTGATCACCAGACACAGACTTCCTGTGTAATGCTACGTACACACAGAGTTTTGACATCTTGAGAATTAGGGGTCTCCAGGTAAATAACACCAATGTTACTTTGACCACTCCCCCTCCTCCGGTAACCGTACGGTAAAAAAATTGGGTCTTTAAAAGTAAGCAAATACAAATTAAAACAATAAGGGAAGTCACGGGAGTGCATGGTCAAAAGTAATACCATGCAAAATCATTGGAAAATACATTCTGAACAACTAATTCTAAATTTTCAAAACTGAATTAAATGCCATGCAAAATGTAGCTTAATTTGGCTACCTTCCCCTTAAATCACTATATAAAAAAGAACTTCTTTTCTTTTTCTGAAATAAAATTTATCAGATGGTGAATGATGCAAAATATGCAAAATCATAACTTTTACACAGACACAAACATTTACCTCAACACTTCAAGCTATATTATGCACTGGGCAAAGTAATTTACCTTCGGAGGATCTTTTCTCAGATTAAGCTCCAGATTCACAGAACGTTGATCAAGCGAGGAACACATTCCACAGATAAAACTATAGACACTCCTATACACCCATAGTGAAAGAACTTGTCACATTTCTCACATCCTATCTGCAAGAGATTTTTTGATCATTAAAGAATTTAAAATAAGTCTAGATTAACATTACCAAGTGAAACATTTAGGAATTACATTTCAGAACAAAAATCATACCCAATCCTCATCTTGTCTTGCTTCTCTATGAAGACTGCACGCTCGGCAGTGCTCAAACAAGGGCTCTGCAAATCAAATTATTGTCTTCAAACCTTCTTCAAATATTTTTCAAAACCCTTCTTTAGATATTTTAGTGTGTGAACCCATAAGGGATGACAATGGGGTCCAATCCATGCCTATTTAGGGGGAGGGGGGCAAAAAAGTCTTTCCTTATATGACAATACTAAAAAAAATGAAATTCAATTTTCGATGACATGCAGTCGGTCACATGATCAGACTTTCTTGCGTATGGAAAACAAACTGCACATGCAATTTGGAAAGTTCCGACTGTGACGTCACATAACGTCATAGCAACGTTACGTTGCATTTCAAAAACTAAGTCTTAATAATGCCTACATTTGTTTGTAAAATGAATGAAAACGTAAAATATAAATATAAGAAATAAAATATCATTTTTAGAGTTTCATTGGGGTATGACATGAAGTCGGTACGTGATCAAATCTACTATAACGCCCTTCGGGCGTTATAGAATTTGATCACGTGACCGACTTCATGTCATACCCCAATGCAACTCTAAAAATGATATCTTATTTCTTAAATGAACATTACACAGTTATCTAAGATTTCTTTTCTTAACAGTATCCAGGACTTGTGTATTTTGTTTGTGTACATTACACAGTTATCTAGCATTTCTATCCTTTACAGTATCCAGGACGTCTGTATTTTGTTTGCTGTGATAGTCGTATTCCTGCTCTTCTTCAACACGTACATCTTCCAGGCCGGCCTCGTTAACATCCTCATAGAGAAGTTCAAGGTCGCCATAGGAATCACCTTTATCTACTTCGGCCTCAATGTTGGTCTCCATGTTTGGGAGATGGTAATAAAATTATTTTTAATTATTTACTAAAAAAAGCATAATCTGCTCCAACCCAGGTTATACCAGACTATCTTGGGTTGCTATTTAATTCATTCCTTGTTATTTAATTTTCAATCATTAGGAATAGAAAACCCTAACCCAGGCAATTTCCCCTTTAGAAAATTTTTAAAAAAGCAGATAGATATTATGTTTTTGATGCAAGTCATTTAGACATAAGCAATCCAATCAAATGACATGTTACAACCAAAGCTAAATTCTTAATACTGGTATATTCATGTATTATGAAGGTAATTTTTCTAAAATGTTTAGAATCATCTGAATTTTAGCAAATTTACAGATGACTTTTCTATTTTTAGACCCTGAGATGGGACGAGCCAAATTTATACATCTGGGGAACCCCCGGATTTATACCTCTGTTTGTAATCCAGAGAACAGGTAAGGATAAAATTCTTAAGGTCCAAATAACTAGAAGCAGATACATGTAAATCCTGATACTGATCATGTAATTATAACTTGAAGTTTGTGGCCAGTTGCATCATATTCATGTTTGAATGTTACATAAGATCTCCGAAACATTATGTAATTCATCTATGATATAAATTTTGCAAATTTAAAGTACAAATTACTAAATAACTTACAAATTGTTTTATTGTTTGTGTATGGTATATTTACCTGTAAGTTGTATAATATCAGCTAAAAAATTGTTAAACAACAAATTTTCTTGAGCTTTTATAAATGCTTTTTCTGTAGGATGATATATCAGAAATTTTTTGGTTTCGCTACAGGTGCTGTCCTGTACTATTATTTTAAGACTTTCATTCAAAAGACGTCAACCCGATGCAACTTTTAAACGAGTGTTTCTAAGAAAGAGTTCGAAATTCATGCACACTTTTGTATCGGAGAAACGTGAGATTAAATAATTTTAGACATTGGAAAAAAATCTATGAAAACTGTGATTATTTCCTACTACATAACATATACAGGGACCTATTTATATGCTAGTTAACGATCCCTGATATAAAATTAATGTACAAATTTGATTCTGCAGCCTGGATTTCCTCTGAATTTTGAAATACTGTCTGTATAATAAAATGAATAACCCGAAGTTCAAATGTGATAAAAGAATAAATTCATTGTTTAACTGTATATGAAATATACAAAGAACTAAATGTCTAATTTTAATAGAGTTACTCATATATCAAGTTTAAATTGAGATTTAATAGTTTTAAAAAACTAGTATACAAACTATAAGTGTCCAGTGACTGCAGCAAGAATCATATCGTAACTGGAGAATTTTGTCTGCAAGTCCAAAATGAAAAATATTAATTGATTATCATTTCAAAGTAAAAGCTTAAATATTAAGGTCAATTACCTATAAAGTTTCTTAATAATACTCAATGTTTTCATTAAGAGAGAGAGAGAGAGAGAGAGAGAGAGAGATAGAGATAGAAGAATGTGTGAAAGTTACCTGCTGTAGAACCAGAAAATTTTCATGGGCATAAAATTTCGTTGTGTTGCATGAAAAATAATTTCGTGTGATTTAATTTAGATATTGTAGAACTAACCCCATTCAATTATATAGTCATATAAAATTTTCATATGGGATTTAAATTCGTTGAATTTTCAACAACGAAATAAACGAAATTTAATCCCCCTATTAATTGTGCTTTTAAGTATGTCTATAACCCATGAAAATTTTCTGATATATTCCTTGAAATATGTGTGTTGCAACTGATGAATCAATGGCCAGAAGCTTCTTATTCTGTGATATTATTCCAAAAAAGGTCAAACTTTAAAATATGAAAACCATAAATTATGAATACAGTGTATATCAAACAAATTCCAGATACTACTATATAAAAAAGGGATTTATTAACTATAAAATATATTAACATAAATCAGACTATAAATTCTACGATTTACCTTCTTTGTCTGTGTTAGAAGATACAAGTATGCATCTATGTACCTAAAAATACATTTTGTGCATTATACAATTGTTTTAGTAAAATTTTATTTAATCAGAAAAAGACAGTAAACTCAAATATGAAAAAAATATACCTCATCAGATAGAGAAGTCTTTAAATACCCAATGGAGGTGTCTGTGACTTTAAAACTACCAATTCTTGCAACTAAATAATCTTGAGGGTTTGATCCTCCACAGTGTGTCTACATCAATGACTGGACATTCTGTGTTTTGATACCTGCCATGCTTTGTTCGGTAACAACGGTGTGGTTCTCATGGTTCCTATGTTGATTGCTGTGCATGTCATATGTCCCATCAATAATTATGACATCATCCTCTTCTGCAAACTGGACACAATGTTTTTTATTTAATTTCCTGTATTTCTTTCTTACTGGTAGATTCCCTGATTTTCTTTTTAAGGATGGTCTTATACGTTTGTCTGTAGCGTTGAGTGGTAAGCCTGAGTCCTTTTTAATTTTTGATGCTGTAAGTAATTTTAGTTCTCTTATTTTGGTAGATATTTCCTGGAGGTCTAGACAATCATTTATCAAGTACAAGTCAGACTGTATATCTTTCAGTCCACCTAAGGCAGTCTGTAGAAGAACATGAAGTGGTGTTTTGGGTATATCTGGCTGTTTTTGGCATGTCTTTTCCGGATTTTTTTCCTGTGATGTGTCTTGATTTAGTGAACTATTTGTGTTGGTTATATCATGTTGCAGAGCTGGTATATCATGTTGCAGAGCTGGTATATCATCTTGCAGAGCTGGTATATCATCTTGCAGAGCTGGTATATCTTCTTGCAGAGATGTATTTGGACTGTCAGGAATGCTATCTATGCACTGCTGCATGATGCTTTGGTCCAAAGTAAAATGTGGACAGGTCTTGTATCCATCAGGAAGGTTATCCTAGCTGCATTCTGGTAATGACATCATCACTGCAAGCATGTGCTTACATGGCAAATGATGTCTCGAGTAGTCAAGACAGGTACATGTAGGTTCAGTGTCTGAAAACATCACCCGATATATGTTGTTGGAGTCAACACTATGCACAGCATAAGCCCTGTCTTCAACCTCCTGTATATTTTCTATGGGTATGTTTTGAATTTCAGGAGGAATTCTTTTGATGCAGTGTTCAACAAGCCCCTTGGTTTGTTGTGTAAAAATTTTGGCACACTTGATGAGTACTTCTTGCAAAACTCAAAACTCTGGATATTGTAATTGAGATAACTGCAAAATAAAATAAAACTGTATCATTGCCATACCTTATTTAAAATACATGTACAATGTATACTCTTTTCAACATTTCATCTAACCAGAGAAGTACGGTATAGCGGGTTATTTTAGCGGGATGCTAATTTTGACTTATTTTGGCATTTTGAGGGTAGCTCGCTAAAATTTTAATTGCTAGAATAGTAAGTTATCTTCTAAGTGTTCATCTGCAAAGAGCTGAAACTCTGAGTTCACTAAAATAAATTACGCCAAAATTAATAGCATACCTTTGAGCAGGTATAAAACACCAACTTTTACACCAGCCAAGAAAAACCACTATACGGTATGTACCTGGTATATTAAATTCACCTTGCATGTACTGCATGCATGCACTATAGTCCAAACCCATATAATCTTTCAAAGTTTGCAACTACATTGTATGTCACATTAAATCCCCATTCAAAATGAAAAAGAGAAATATAAGAATAAAATTCCTCCTATAACTGTCTGGTAAGAAATTGGAGACCAATGTCGCAATCATGGTACAAAGACTACCTTCACTGTAGTGAGACAGGTAGCCTCTTTTGAACTCCTGATGTTTTCTCTCTAAGCCATTTGTTGTTGTCATTCTTATGTTGTAAGTCTTTTCTCTGAAGGTTTTAACCCATCTCTGAAAAGAAAAATTTATATTAACCCCCTTCCCCGCAGTCACGCATTTTAACGCATATACCATTTCCTATTTGTAACGCAAAATCACGCATATACCGTTTCCCCGCAATCACGCATTTTCACGCACTTTAAAAAGTTCATTTAATCTTTAATTCATTGCCGATTTCCTTCTATTTTATATTTGCAAAAATTTCATAAAATAAGAAAAGTTATTTTTGGATTAAGATATAACGTCAGAATATTATTTACGCTAAACTTTAGAGAAAAGTGTACCACGCTAAATGGTGCTTGCGGGGAAATGGTAAATTTCTACTTCTATGACGTGGACATTATGCGTCTGTTGCATAACAGTTCAATAAGTTGTAAAGAGTTAAGAAAAAATAATGAAAACTATAGAATCATTGCATTTTTTGATGTTGTTAATGAGTACCTTTTTAATCGTCCTAAACATTTCACTAATTTTAGGTACACTGTTGATCTAGTGATTACATTGTAATGGATCATATTGTTTCGATTAGTACTCGATCGGAAGATGAAGACAGTAACCAGGTTACTAAATATTGTCCAACTTGACAACATTATTTTTTGTGAATAAAAAATCTTGCTACAGTAAATCTTGGTTATAACAAAGTCACTTAAGGAAATACTTCCCTATACCAGAACACAAATATACAGTACAGTCTGTTAAAAAAGCAATTCATTAATTAAACATAATACCGTATAAGTAGAAATTTTAGCGAGGATTTAATTTTGGCATTATTAGCGAGGGTGCTGAGATTGCTAAAATTGAATATTGCTAAAAATTAATTGCGTTTTATTTGTAATAGCTTCTTTAGTAAGCATTTTAAAATCGCTAAAATAAAATCTCGGTAAAAATAAATTACCAGTTTTTAAGGACAAATCGCTAAATTTGCGTCACGCTAAAATTTCCACTTATACGGTATCAGAGGATTTCAGTGATTAAAATATTTGGTTTACAATGTGATAAAATATACTTGTAGAATATCACCATAATATACTGGGGTACATATTTTTTTTTACCTTCAAATACTTCCTCAACTGCTTGGATTTCCCTTTCATCATAGTCAGTCATGAAATAGCTAGGATTCCATTCCTTAATTTTTCTTAAGCCCTCCTGAATAGACTTTTTTGTTTCCGTAGCAACAACAAAAGAACCACAAATGGAATGCCCAACATTAGTCTGCACACAAATGAAAAAAAGAGGAAGGGCATACTTTGAGGTCTTATATGTGGCATCCATGATGCAAATGTCTCTCCCATACAAGTTTAAGAGACGTTTTTGCCAGGTGGTCTGGTGAACAAACAGAAAGTCCTCTGATGGAATGTCTCCATGGGAAGTGGTATCATATCTGTGTATGAAAAATATATCGGTAACACATACAAAGGAAACTTCTAGATCATTTTATCAGAAGCAATTAGGTTTGAAACTTTTGATAAACTTACAATGTCCTAAGGAAGAAGTTGTCCTCTGGATTACTCTCTTGCCAGGTCTCCACCAGAGACTCGAGGTTCAGCTGGTCATCTTTGGAAAACCTAGAAGCAATCATTCATTATTGCACTTCAGAATCTGGGATTCAGTTGCTTATATACTAATGGAAATTTTTAATGAACTAAACCTCATAATTAAAGAAATATTAATTCTTGCTTAAGTCGCCCTTTGATGAAAGGTAAATAATCCTACTTACGTACTCTTATCTTAAGTTTACATACGAAATACAAATTAGGAACATTTATAATTCAATACCTCAAGCTGTTAATGGCAATATCCATGTGGTTTTTAATGTCCTTGTCCAATAGAAAAAAATCTTCTGTTAGTTTTGGAAATATCCTCATCTGGACATAAGTCATTTTTCACAGAGATTAGTAGGTGTCTCTTCATTTCAGAAACATTTCTCACCCCATCAGCTACAAGTTCTTTTATGCGTGTAACTAATCTCGGATCAATGCGCTGAGTAAATCCTGCAAACTACAAGGGAAAAAATTTATACT